GAGAACACGAAAATGCTACCCACCTAAATATGGAGGAAAAGCTTACGTTGGATACCCTGAAGAAACTAAGAAATGTGGAACGCATCCTTGTCCAGGTAAAATTAACAGTTATTTAATGAAAAATGATATGCTAAGTTGTGCAGTTTCATCTTCGATAGCCTCTTTATCATCTATAAATAACTGAAGTGTATTAAGTTATCTGGGCACCATTTGTTTGTTTTTTCAACTTATTTTTCGTCTTCCAACTATAGTGGATGGATATTGTGATGCTTATGGCAGCTGGAGCAAATGCACCAAAACATGTGGTGGTGGAACTTGTACGAGAACACGAAAATGCTACCCACCTAAGTACGGAGGAAAGGCTTACGTTGGATATCCTGAAGAAACTAAGAAATGTGGAACGCATCCTTGTCCAGGTAAAATTAACAATTCCTTCATTACCAGGTGATCTCAAGGGAACGCGTGCAAAGAATTGTTGTAGTTGATCAGGCGGTCCTAGTTTCACTGATTATACGCGAACAAAGAGCCATCATTTCACGTTAATTTCATAAAAGAATTGAAATCACAATGCGCCATTTGACCCATAGGTACTCGGTATAAGAATAGGTAGAATTTTAGATGTATTGCGCGCTAGTCCATAACGTAGCTAGCGTAGCGGAGATGATTCAGATTAATCTTTTCTGACGTCCGTCGCCATATTTTTTTTCGATGAACCGCCTGATCAGTTCTCTTCCTGCGCTGCGATTGGCTGGTTTTTGATGGGCTGTCAAAACGAGATCACCTGGAATGCTCTGTGTTAAGAAATTAAAAAATAACATGTACATTTTTGCAGTTTAATATCCGATAACCTCGTTGTCTTCTAAAAATAACTGCATTTAGGGATCTGTTAAATATGTGTATTTATTGAAACTTTTTTTATCTTCCAACCATAGTGGATGGCTATTGTGATGCTTATGGCAGCTGGAGTAAATGTACCAAGACATGTGGTGGTGGAACTTGTACGAGAACACGAAAATGTTACCCACCTAAATATGGAGGAAAAGCTTACGTTGGATACCCTGAAGAAACTAAGAAATGTGGAAC